AGCCATCTATAGGGAAACGGCGGGAGCAAAGTTGTTCACCTAATACAATTCTTACAAATTTATTTTGAAAACAAATAATTTGGTGAAAGAGAATAAAAAATTTTAATTCATTTTAGTACAGCAACAAAGAGTGAACTTATTACTCCCTCTATAGTTTGCATATGCGCAATTGCAACAACGATTATTTTTCGCTATTTAAGATATAATTTCATGGTAGTGTCGAGTGTCGAGCGTCAAGCGTCGAAACCAATTACTAGACAAGCATCAAATGTGCATCAATCTATTGTTTACTGATTGGTTCTGACACTTAACAATCGACGCTTGACGCATTAGAAATATTTTAACGCAATGTAGCATCCTTGGTTTCACATGTCGCTTTATGCATCGTGCTAGTCAGTCATTCTTCATAATTAAAAAGTGTTTAATTCCAATTATTGATTGTTCATTAAACAGGTCTTACGAGAGTACATATTAGTCTGTTGCCAGCATTTACACAGTGGTCTTCTAGATAAACCGGGGAAGAATGACTTATTTAAATTAATAGTTATATTACTAATTTCAAAGATAAAAAGCGTATCTTTTTTTATGTAAATTGATTAATCAATGATATTTACAAAAGAATATACATCATCGTGATAACATTGCATTCATCATTTTGCATCTTCTTCAGAAACTGTATCATATATCATACGAGTTACGCTCTTAGTAAGATTATCAATTACGCAGAATTCATCACAGCCGTCAATTATTGGATCGAAAGTAATAAATTTAGTGGCAATCGTACATTCCGTCTACAATCTAACAATTTCCTTAGCTACGAACGTGCTGAAGCACGTTGGTGTCCTGCCGATACCTGATTTTAATACATCTTAGCCAGTTTAAAGCGTATTATATACGAGGGCGGTCNTACTTAGCCTACAAAAGAAAAACGAAAATTTTGGAAAAGTGGCGATTTATTTCTCAACATGGTCTCCTTTTAGCTCGATACACTTGACCCAGCGATGCTCCAACTCCTTTAACCCACCTGAAAAATACGTTTTTTCGAAGTCTGCAAAGGCCTCCGTGGCGGCGATGACCTCTTCATTCGATTCAAATTTCAGCCCGGCGAGTGACTTTTTCAAGTTTGGAAACCAAAAAAAGTAGCACGTGGCCAAATCTGGAGAATACGGTGGATGGGGCAGCAGTTCGTAGTCCAATTCGACCAATTTGGCCGAATGAGGAGGTCATCGCCGCCACAGAGGCCTATTTTGCAGACTTCGAAGAAACGTATTTTTCAGATGGGTTAAAGAAGGGAGCATCGCTGGGTCAAGTGTATCGAGCTAAAAGGAGACTATGTTGAGAAATAAATCGCCACTTTTCCAAAATTTTCGTTTTTCTTTTGTAGGCTAAGTATTTATCGGACTGTCCTCGTACATATTTAGGTTCCTTCTTTAAATTTAAATTTCAATATATTACATAATCTATTATTTTAAATGTGCCCCAATTTAATAAAATTATACACACAAGTTGATAACATTTTTGTGAAGAAATTACACGGTGTGAAAAACAGTTTAGATTTTATATAAATTATGCGAGCTTTGGAAAAAATATTCGATATTTTTAATATTTTATCATGACAGTGGCCTTGAAAGTTTATCACAAACGACGATTCACTTTGAAAGAAAAATTGAAAAATGTTGGTATCGCGCTCACGTTAGTACACCGGTCTACAATAGGTATTTTAAACCTTAAGAAATTGCATCAATCACAGTTAATTATTCTCATTACATTCGACTATGATTAGTCAATTTCTTAAAGCCCAAACTACGGATTGAAAATTGAGATTAAATTGAAATTTGGTCAGTGCAAAGTTTATTAAATTTCATTAAATTTTTTAGTTTAGTTAACTTTGTATCGATTGGCCAAATTTAATTTAATTTTAATCTTCAATCCGTAGTCTGATACAAGCTTAAGACTTAAAGCACCTATAGTAGATTAGGATTTATGGACGTATTAAAAAAAAAATCCGAGCATAAACCATAATGACAGCATAATGGCAGCATCATTGAAAAACTCATAATTTTTACACATAGGAATTTGAAACACCAATTAGAAAATTTTATTTTTGATTGGCCCATCACCTATGTGGGCCATTGAAACTTTCCCCCGGCTTGCCGCGCAGTAGAAGTTCGCGAAGTTGCCAATAAATGTCTACTTCTTTCGGAAAAACGGCACGTTGATTGGTTACCGTGTGAACTTTTGCCACGCGGCAAGTGTTGCCCCGTCCTGTATGCCAGAGCTATATAATGTTACAGCATATTATAGTAAATGTTTCATTCAAATATTTCAATTAAATATTTAAAAAGTTCTGCGATATTCTATTAAAATACAAAAATAAGTCACTTCAAATTTTTTGATAAAAATATATTTAATTTGAGATATACATCTATCTATAACATTTATTTAAAGAGAAAGAAAATGTAATTATAAATATATGTATATTTTCCTGTTTTTACTAACAATATACTGGTACTCTTTAATGAGAAATAGTAATATAATTTTTCTCTAAAACTATAAATAAAACTATTCGGCGGAATTTACGCAGTTTCAAAATTTAACCTTTAGTTTATGTCATCGTCTAGAAATACCACTCGCAATGTCATTAAATAAGAGAAAGCTGTCGACAAATACTGAAATATACAAAATAATAACGTCAATTTCCCGCATAACGAGCATTTTCCTACAAAAGACACGATATATTGCAATGGCTGCATTCAAAAAATACAAGGGATCACTTAGAGGCCAGTGATTACTGGTCTTTATTGTTATATTTCCAAATTTAGACCAATTATATTGACGACTTATTTAACTATTGCATAACTGTTCTGTTTTTTGAACACAACCATTGTGCTACACTGGGTGCATTCAATGGTTGCGTTCAAAAAAACAACCATTGTACAACGGTAAATAATTCGTCAATATAATTGATATAAATTTAAGGACCTGACATATGCATAGACCAAGCATTTCAATATTTTTCCTATAGCAGCGATCATATGCAAATCAGATTAGCCTAGGAAATTCTTTATATCGGTTTGGTAGCGTGTCATGCGCGATTCGTTTGGAAATTTGATTATCATAAGGTCTGTTCGTTTTCGCTGCATCGCTAAATTAGCGCAATAAATTGAAGTGAGAAAACATATGCTTGTCTCGCTTCAACTTATTGCACTAGTTCAGCGGTGCAGCGAAAACGAACAGATCTATAAACATCTAATGACGCAGGAAGAATGGTTATTTGCGAAGACCTTACCGATGCGTAATAATGCAACGATATCGGTGGCAAGAAAGAAGAAACCGAAACGGCCATTGGTATTTGGCTTCTCAGCATGATGAACCATACATTTCTTTGGAAGGTAATGCTTCGATTATACCATAATGAATCGTATACTGCCCGCGCAATTTCGGTACTCTGGTAAACAATATATTAATTTTAAAATAATGTGATCAAGTAATTATTAAAATTGAAATTATTTTATATCATTCTTCTTTCTCCGTTAAGTTACTAAGAGAGGAACAATATTTAATGGCGATTGGTTAATTTAAATGGAATAATTAAACGATTAAGTTAACAAGAAGTTACGAAATTTATGCCCTTACATCTTAATTATTTATATTAGTTGATATTATAAATTATTCTTAATATTTTTTATTCCCATTTCTTTGTATAAAATTCCTTGTTCCTTATTCCTTTCATTATGTCTGAGTCTTTCTTAACACGTTGACTGCCACGGAACTTTTCACGATTCTGGTCTAAGAAGCCAATTTGGTTTAATCAAGTAATGAAGCGACGAGATAACTCGTAGTTGGCGTCCTGGGAAAGTAAACAACCTACGAGATATCTCGTAGTTGACAGTCAACGTGTTAAACATCTCAAAGATGTATTTATGAAATTTGTGCCGTATTCTGGCATATAACTTACCGCGTCCATCAAGTGATCAGCTGGCCAAGCACATGCATAAACTTCCATTAATCCAGTTGTCCATAGAATCATAAATTGCGTTTTGTCTGCTATCGTACTTCGCTATGAATATAAGCATAATGAGATAAAGTCTGCATAGATATTTGTATGAATTATTTGGTACAATACAGTTGGCAAATTTAAAGGTGCGACATTTTTTTGTCGATGCGTTTCGCACACAGACTTATATATAATACTAGACCGCTATTCCTTTCTATACAAAAATAAAAAAATGTATCCCGAAAAGAACATATTGCATATTTTTGTCAGTTGTAGGAAAAAAGAAGAATGCTGGTAGGTAAGTTTAATACGGCTGATGGCTGCAATCAATCTGAATAAGACCCGGTTTCACCAACGCGAGTTAATCAAATCGGTCGATTTGATTCAGCTTTTCCGTTCGAATTGTCCAATCGCATCGTTATTAGATAGATGCGATTGGTCAGTTCCAATGGACAAACTGAATTTCAAATCGACTGATTTGATTAATTCGCGTTGGTCAAAACTGGTCAACCTAAGGTTGGTATATTATATACATTGTACAATGAATATGTCGGATGTGCCGATTGACAGTACCCTAGAGAATTTCTAAGGTGTCTAGAGAAAACTTTAAGGACCTTTAAAATTCTCTATCCAACAGCCAATTGGTATATTCAACACAAGTCCGTCGTATGACACGTAAAATATTAAGTTGTTCGAAAAGTTCTTTCCAAATATTTCATATAGGTTCAGGATATAATATTTTATTCCAGGAATAACTTTATCGAAGCAAATATGTACCGCTTTGTTTAACGAACGCCTGGCCCATCTTTTGGGTAGCTGCATGAGAGCGGGCTCCAATAGTCCATACAGGTGATTGTCTAATCAAATGTAAAATTTTCCAATTGATGATCCAATGACGGAAAGGATCTAGACACTGACCGATGCGAATTGTTCTACCGCACACCGTGCATGATGCCCTTGCTCCACGCATGAAGAAGTTACTTACTGGCGAAGAATTGATCTAGTGAATTTTGAGGGCTTCTAAAGATCTGAATTTTTTGTCCCGAAGAAAATTTTTTAAAGAGAGATATAGGTGGTAGTCAGATGGAGTAATAATCGAGAAAAAGACGGAGGATGAAGAAGAACGTTCCATTCGAAGTTAAGCACCTACGAATGGTACATCGCGACAGTGTGAGATCTAACATTATCAAAGTAAAAGTCAACTCGACGCCTGTTGATCAGCTGAGGACACTGATGCGATGGCAGTCTTCAATTCGTTCAGCTGGAGGCTGTACTTCACCGCGTTGATGGTCTCGTTCGAAAACTGAAGAGGCTTATCATAAACGTTCTTAAAATTCCACCAAATGCCTACCGGAAGAACCTTCTTTGGACGAATGGTCCGGACCGATTGGTCATTGTTTACACAGATGCGCCACTGGCTCTCCATAATCTCTTATGGCTAACATTGTTATGTAGAATATTCAACTTTTATCACCTGTTTTGATCCTTTTTACAAAAAATGTTCCCTTTGATGTCGTTGAAGCAGCATATGCATAGGTGTTCACATATTTCACTAGCTGCCTGTTCACCCATTTCGTGTGAAACCAAAATATCCAGTCGAATTAGTTCCAAAGAATCCCAGTTTCTTCAGATGGTCATGTATAATAAAGACGGTCTTGTTATTTGTTAAACGTAACATCTTACATAAAAATAATAACTTTCTTAATAATGCTAAAATTTCGTTATTTTAGACGATGTTCCGAATTTTTTTGAAAATCGAAAAAACTATTAACAAAGATTTAGAATATTTCAATAATATATCTATCTCGTATGATATTCTCATATATGTTTAAACACATGAAATTTTACAAACATGATTTTTAATTGCCGTATGATTATTATAATCTCATGTGTTTATATGTATACGAGGGCAGTCCGATAAGTACTTANTGGCGATTTATTTCTCAACATAGTCTCCTTTTAGCTCGATACACTTGACCCAGCGATGCTCCAACTTCTTTAACCCATCTGAAAAATACGTTTTCTCGAAGTCTGCAAAGTAGGCCTCCGTGGCGGCGATGACCTCCTTATTCGGCCAAATTGGTCGAATTGGACTACGAACTGCTGCCCCATCCATCGTATTGTCCAGATTTGGCCCCGTGCGACTTTTTTTGTTTCCAAACTTGAAAAAGTCACTCGCCGGGCAGAAATTTGAGTCGAATGAGGAGGTCATCGCTGCCACGGAGGCTTTTGCAGACTTCAAGAAAACGTATTTTTCAGATGGGTTAAAGAAGTTGGAGCATCGCTGGGTCAAGTGTATCCAGCTAAAAGGAGACTATGTTGAGAAATAAATCGCCACTTTTCCAAAATTTTCGTTTTTCTTTTCTAGGCTAAGTACTTATCGGACCGCCCTCGTACATACGTATTATACGACATTGCTTTGCTATTTAATTTAAAAATTAACCATTTAAGTTATTGTAATCCAGATAGCTAAATCTGCGCAAGCAGATTTCGAGTAGAGCCTGCTATCAACTTTTGATGGCAAATAGGCAACAATTTTGATGTAGGATCTGTTATATCAAATCTTGCTACCAATCTGCCGGTATGTAATGCTTGCATTTTGCTTATTGGTAGTATAACATGAGAGAGATTGCGCAAATGAAACAAATTAAGCTACATGTTTTCCTGTTTTTCTTGTTATAAATAGAATTATTGCAACTTTTAACTACACAATATTTCATTTTTTTGTTAATATTTCCTTTCATAAATTATTTTTCTGTCTTCTTGCTTTCTTTTTGTATAATGATTACTTACGTTCTTCTTCTTCTTCTTCTTCTTATTGTCAATGACCGAGAGTTATGCTCTATATACCAAATGGCTACATTATTTATCTCATCTTATGATATGTAGCTGCTAGAAACGTCTATTCCGATGGCATTACTATTCGCTCAACGAGTTTCATCACTTGCTAAGTTTATTGGTACTGGTGGCGCTGCAAATGGACGGATGTCCAAAATCATTACTAGTACTTCATAGTTATATATAGTCAAAAGGTAACGCAAGCATTTCCATATATACAGAAGACGTTTCATTCATGGTCTGTGAAGCCATGAAGCAACGATGAAAGCAAGACAGCAGCTTCATATGACGAAAGTTGACTTTCTGGTTCTCCATATTTCTATCTGATTTCTGCCGATATGGTTGCACTTAGGAAAGCGGCCCACGAGGTTCTTTTGACGGACTCACAGGTTCGGAAAAGTTTGTTGACAAACACAAAATCGTCTAGAGCGCCCCCGCTCTTATTGATTATAGCAACGCGGAACGAGCAAGATTTGAAAGGAACTTTCCGAACAATCTAATAGCACCTTAACATTAGTCAGCCAAAGGACAGCAACGGAGGATTAAAATTAATAACTTATAAATTTAACTTATGAATTACATTACAAAAGTTATTTAGTAATAACTAATTTAATTAAACTAACTTAATTAACCAGTTAAGTGTGTTTGACGACTATATCCGTCATGGAGATGTGGCAGAATCTTGTGTCATGACGACTATATCCGTCATGCGTAAAATTTTGTTACAATTTGATATTTAATGTGTAAATATATGTTAATATTGAGTGACTGTGTAAATATTACTAATAAAATTGTTCATTTTCTAAAATAAAGTCGTCTTTTTGACCCAATATTTCAACAGCGCCACTTACTCTGTGTTTGACGATTATACCCGTCATCGCTTGATTATCGCGACACACACTGGTGGGCGCTTTGCAAAAAGATCGCCACAGTTAACTGGTTAAATAATGAAAATTAACTTATACTAAAGTTAAAAGTTGATGACTTGTAAGCAAAGGCATTTCTTTCTTAATCTGCTGACTGATGTAAGAGAAATACTTACGCTTACAATTGTAAGACCACTGGCTATAAACGTCCACGTGCATAAGACTATTATTGCTAAAATTACCGAACGGATGGCAACGATTACTTCTTGAGAGTACCTGAAAAAAAATGTTGATATTTATTTCTATCATTATCAATGTGATTTTTAACGTAACATGATTTTTAAAGTGAGTTATGAACAATCAAAATTATTGTCCATTTTTTCTTGAATCCTTGATAACTTGGAAACAAGAAAAGGAAGTAGAGAAATTTCACCTAAATAAATTATAAAGAAAATTTCAGTCTTTCGTGTGGAAAAGTCGATAATTTTTTCAAATTTTTTCTTACGCCCGTGACATGCAGTAAAGAGACAAGAAAATATTTCAGTTTGTGCAACTCGTCCTTTTCGGTATGTAAAAATTACCAAAATTTAAAAAAAATAAAAACGATAGAGATCATTCGAAAGTAGACATATTAAACATAAAAATCCTTTCTTTAGATTTGGATTTCGCTAAATTTTTGACGAAGTTATAATTTGAATCTTGAAACCATTTTTTTTTTAAGAATCGTCAAATATTCTCTAAGTAGTTCGTTATTATCTAATAAATAATTATTACTTGAATTATATAAATCTATAATTATCCGTTAACTTTAATTTACATGTATATATTTTATACAATAGATGATATCGATTTTATTACTGTTCATAATCTATCACATCTTTTTCACTGTGCAAGTAATTTGCAAGGTATTTGTAAATATATTTGTTTAATAAACAAATTTATGGCAATAAGGAAAAGTGGGAAGTTATTGGAAATGTAACTTTTTTTAACAATATTCAGAACATCCACTTAAGAATATCCGAAATGATTTGTAAACGTAAGATATTTGTTGATACGCCATTACCTTAATAATTTAATATGTTGCCGTACACACGCGATGATTTCATGGATTTCTTTAACAACGCGAAATTGTTGGGATAAAATTTCAAAGCGCGCTGCAGTGAACCATATTAGAATACCAATAAAACCGCAGAGACAAACCGTCGAGAAGCATTGCCAAATGACGATGAACTGGTGTACAAAAATAAGAGTCTTGATCGGTTCATGTTTCACGTTGAAAGGATACTTTGCTTCTGTAGGAAAGATCTGATCGACCGTTATCAGTGGCGTAACTAATGACGTTGTAATTGCGGTGAGAAAAACTGCGAACGTACAACCTGCGTAAAACGGCACGCACTTGTCGGCGTATTGTTGGTATATGTCTTTCTCGTGGATTTTCGCGCATTTAAAATTATGTTCCATTTCTGAAATCACGTTCTGAAATTTCATATGGTCTTTCGGTAAAGGTAATCAACATAGTTTGATTTATGCAATCAGGAGCAGTAATGTTTTCTATTTTAAGTGAAAAATACCTTCTGCACTCAGATATTGTTTACAATAGTGCAAATCATATTCGACTGATTACATAAACATTCAACACTAGTTGTGTGTGGTAATAGGTCTTTATTCCTAATAGTATAAAATATTACCGTTCCTTACTATTGATTAAAGCTCACAAATAAATTTTAAAATTTAATCATAAGACATGTCGGATTTTAAAAATAATTCATGAAAATCTGCCGCAAACATAGACTTGCTAAAAAAAAGTAAATTACCAGCGTAAAACTGATAAAGAAGTTAAATGCAAAATATTTTTCAGACAATGGTTTAAATAATAAATTACTTAATTAAAATTGCGACACATCTCGAATAAAATAGCATCAATCTTATTGGAAGTTTTATATGATGATGTTAAAATGGCATTTCTTACTTGTAAACGATCATATTGTAGAGCGAACAATGATATTTGCAGTGGGACTTGCGTGAAGGCCCCTAGTAAGCACCATAACTTCGTTATTTTTGGCAAATCGTAGTTGTTGTAGTAAAGAGTGTATGTCACAGGCACGATCAATATTATTACATTCATACACAGCAAGAAGCGCAAAGTTTTGAAACATATAACTTGAAATTTATTAGCGGTTTTTGGAGGGGGCCATGAAAAACATAAAGCGATTGTGACTTTCAAAAATGCTACTGCCATTGTTGGAGTTACTTTTTTCGCCATAATTACGTATCAAAGATTTTAACGATGTGAGAATTCCGAATTCTATTGTATATTCGTTCTCGATTGCTTCTCGCGTTATGTTATTTCTACCGAAGTTAAAAACTTTTCCTGGCCTGATATATAAATATTTAATGTACAACAGAGAGAGAGAGAGAGAGAGAGAGAGAGAGAGAGAGAGAGAGAAAGAGAGAGAGCAGTAATTGCACAATATAGTGCGCACAGAGAGAGCGTAATTGCACAATATCAGGCTTATAATTTGTACGCGCAATGTGCGGAGGAGAAATGCATATTATGCTCATAAGTATGCATGCAGCATGTACTTTAGTCTATTCGACTATTTCCTAGATGATACATAGTTGAAAATGTTATACACGGGCATTACGAAATTATTAGTTGTAAGGCAAAAGGAAATATGGCAATATACCATCAGCTGCGGCAAACTGTTTAGCACGTATATATTTAGAATATGTAATATTCAACTTTATAGCATATAGAGTCAAATAATAAAAATCGGCAAGTAATACAAATAATATGTACATTATAGGAATTGCAATTGTGTGCAAAATAAATGTATAGTGTTTATTGAATGATAAAGTTATTTGCTATTTTTTTCCTTATTAAATGTTTTTTTTTATAAAAACCGTAAAAGAGAAGGTGGTATCATGACCCTTGTAGGTATTGTGACTTTCTTTAATATATTTATTATATAGATGACGATTTCTCAGCGATCGCTTGGATAGAACCACAATTTTAATAGTTCGCCGTTACACAGCAGTGCTCATATGCCAATACGCAATAGCCTACTTTAGTTATAACGCATAGTTATTTTTAAGTATTTCAAAATATTTTCAAGATACGTTTTAGTATCTAGTTATACAAACTCTTTTATTCTTCTAAAATTATTAATTTTATAAATATTATCACACGAGTATACGTATGTTTGAATGTTTTGTCTATTATTTTATTCCGCAATATATATTTCGAATAATCTAAATTTTTACGATAGCATGACATTTTGGAGCTAATTTTATACGGTCAATTTTTTTCTTCTTTTCCGAAGTTTTCATGTTAAAGTAGTTATCCGAAAAGTAAATAATTCAGTTTTCATTAAAAGTTTATTTGTGCTGAAATTATTCTTTTGACAGTGTGTATTTATTAGTTGTGACAACTAAATCAGTATCTACATAAAAAAATCATGGTTATATTCATTTATGTTCTTCTTAAGAGAGTTACTTTTTAATAAATACGAGAATTTTATTTTCTTTAATCTATTTCAGAGGGAAACCACATTACCATCTTTGNCGATTTTCACAATCTTCTCTTGATGCCAATTTCTTATCACTAAGGAAGTTACGCAATGCAAGAAAAACATGGTAATCGCTTGGTGCCGGACTATATGTTGGATGCATCAAAACTTCCCAACCAAGCTCCCGGAGTTTCTGACGAGTCACTATAGACATGCGTGGCCTGGCGTGATGGAACACAACACTTCTCCTATTGGCCAATTCTGGCCGTTTCTAGTCAATCGCCAGCTTCAAACGGTTCAGTTGTTGACAGTAAAGATCCGAATTTAGTGTTTGGCCATATGGAAGCAACTCATAATAAATGAATGGCTGTAACAGCCAATTACGTGCAATTTTGGTTTCGTCGATTCCGTTCAGGTATTTTTGATGTTAAAGATGCACCTCGCAGGTGGGCCCGTCGTCGAAAATGTCGATAAAATCACAGAAATAATCGACCGGCATGTTAGCAGTCGTAGCATCGCCCAGGAGCTAAAGATCGACCATAAAACAGTTTTAAACCATTTGCACAAAGCTGGATTCAAATCATCTCACAATTATAGCGAGCAACCGATCAGAAGCGGCCCGAATAGGCGAATAAAAAGGACGTTATGTTCCACCAAAAAAACGCTGGACTACACGTTTCTCTAATAACCCGGGAAAAGTTATTGTGGCTTGGGTTAGATATTTTGGTGCACTTATCGTATAATCCAGACCTTGCACCTTCAGACTATCATTTGTTCCGAACGCTACAGAACAATTTGAATAACAAAACTTAGTTCTCTGGACGTCCTCAAAAACCATTTGGATGACTTTTTTACCCAAAAATCTTAGGACTTCTATGAAAGAGAGATAATGAAGTTCGTGGAGAGATGACAGAAAGTCATTGAACAGAATAGAATATATTTAATTGATTAACATCACTTATTTTACTAAATAATTTGCGTTTGAAATTTACTCGATTTTCGCTATGGAATTGTGCATAGACCCATATATATCGGTTTTGTAACGTCTTTCGATATTGTCCGATTTTCACACGCTTATAATTGTCGTGCGCACGCAGATTATATGGAACTTATAGTTTTAACGCCGATTCCGAACGGCAATTTGAATAAGATTTTTGGTAAAGATACTTTGGATGGACTGCCAGTCTATCAGAAGAGGAGACACGAGCGTATGAAAATATTTTGGTTCTACAAAGAGGCGATCTCGAAAACTCTAGTATAACAAACCAGTGCGGTGTATATTACGCCACACTTGCCCTGGAAAAACATGAATGATGAAAATGTATATAAGGTATAAAATAAATTATTTATAATTATATTATGTTTATTTTTTTTTTAGTTCTTATTCTAATTGGGGGTTCAATTGACTGGTCAGGTCGCAGTGGGGCCCACCTTGCTGGAAAGTGAGCACCTAAAAAGAGCCGTGAAATGCTGTAAAATAACATCAAGCAACCCAGCAAGTCCTATTTTCTAGCGTCCTTCTTGCGAATCCTGGGTGTGATCTCGGTCATAGCAGATAGAAGAAGGGCAAAAGGCGAATTACATTAGCTACTTTTGCGGACGACACTGCGCTACTTGCAGCACATAACGAATCTTCAGTACCTTCGCGCACCTTGCGAAAAAGTATTAATAAAGTACAGTAGTGTTCCTAATTAGTAATAGGATAATTTAATTTCGGACAACTTTGGGTATTACTCTAATCGGCACTTACGCTGTATACGGGAAAATCTGGGAAAATTTCTATGCGGGAAGCGACGAGATCGCGTGCGAATATATTATTTCTATCGCTTCTACCCAAATCACCTTCTCCAATATTTCTTTCATCTCTCTTTCGCGTCACTCGTACGAAGTGCACTTTTACGATAACGCTGTTCCTCGCGCATCTCTTTCTCTCCCACCCTTAGTAGTGGTTCCAAGAATGGCGCATTAAAACCAGCGAATTGAAATCGACTTATGTTACACTCACTTTACGTAAAGATCTACGGTCTTTCTAAATAATCAACAAATCCCGCAAACTGATGACGCCAAATACCTTGGCTTGCATCTTGACAAAAGGCTTAGTTGGAAGAAAAATATTTTTACCAAACGTAAGCAATTGAGACATTTACTTTATGGAACATATTGGTTAATCGGTCGTCGGTCCCAACTAACAACGAAAAACAAATTTTTGCTCTATAAAACTATAATTAAACCTGTATGGACGTACGGAATTCAACTTTGGGGCACCACCTCGAACTCCAACATTGAAATATTGCATCGATACCAATCCAAAATTCTAAGAATTATTGTTAACGCCCTCTAGTATATAACTAACGAAGCCTTACATAGGAATTTATAAATACTCACGATCAAAGAAGAAGTCAAGAAGTTTAGTCAGAAATACCGAAAACGTTTGGAAACTTATAAGTTGGCTACAGGTTTTATGAAGGACTAACCTAAACGATGTCTAAAAAGAAAATTACCTCAGGATCTCTTAACCTAGGTCTTTACTGTATAGAGGTGTGCTGATGAGCACAAACCCTCCACGACATATTTTCATTTCTCTACATAAACTTTGCTAGATGTACCCTTCGGGATAGATTGTAATGAAAATAGGAGTTTAAAAAATTCTTATTGCAAATATTGTTCTTATTATTCTTATTGAAAATATTATTCTTATTGTTCTAATTGCTATTATTCCTATTATATATATAGTTATTATTCTTAATATTATAATGTTGCAATTGCTTCTAAGTTATATGGAAAACAACGTCTAATAGGGAATATGCATATTCTCATCCACCTTGCTGACGATTTCGAATATACAATATATATGAACTGCCCTATTACAGATATCACAGCTTACTCATTCGAAAATACACTTGGAAAAATTTAAAAAACTGAGACGTCATGATAATAAACCTTTGCCGCAATTATGTCGTCGATTGAACGAATTTTCTTTTAACGTTGAACGATCTGTAATGCCATTTACAATACTATCTGTAATCTGCCATCTACAAGAAAAATACTGAGGAAATTATGTCCAGATAATTTTAATAATATACCTGTAATAAGAGAATTATGTAAAAATATAATTTTAGCAAAGAAACCTCCAAATAACATCCAATAGACAATATATTTATTCCAGTAAATAAAAATATATTCTATAAAAGTAACAGAAATAATCTTAAAGAAGAACGAGCCGCTTTAAGTACAACCATGCAATGTTGAAATTATTGATATTTGGTGTGTTTCTGGAAGAAATTACCATATAGTAACTTATATGCTAAGCGATATTTATAGCGAAATGACATGATTTGATATTAATAATGAAACAGAAGAAAAAAGGTATGTCATACCTCTACTGCACACGTAAATAAACAAATTCAGTATTACAATTACATGCATTATCATAAAGAAATGAAAATTTTATAACATATATTAATCAATAAATGTCCGTGTGCGCGCATGTGTGTGTATAAACGTAAATAGTATTAAATATATTGTAAAAAAATAGCTACAAAACGCGCCACATAATGAGATATATTAGAATTTGTATTATATGGCACGCAACAACTTGTGACACGCAGCGGTGTGATCATCGCAGAACAAACGGCGGTTCTACAACGACGCTGAAAAGACTGATTTACGTATGTGACTGCGTATACACGTGTGTAGTAGCATTGACCTTGTTTTTTACGTGTCTTCAGAT